TTGTATGCATGCATTTGGAGTCCCTGTTAGCAGCCTTCACTCCACATCCCTTTGTACGTCCCAAACAGCCACCCTTGACACCCAGGAAAGAGGGCTAGACAGACCCAGAAACAGGACCTAGGGCCATTTAGGGAATTTCAGGGTCCTGGGGACCCGAATATGTTCTAGAATGGGGATACTTTTCCCTGTGAGGAAGATGCCCAGATGGGTGCAAGATGTAGGGCATGAGGGTGACCACTGCATTCTTTATGGAAGCAAAAAGTTAGAGTTGGTGTCTAACAGAAGAGGAAAGATGGAATACATCTCATTTATAAAAAAGACAAACCACTAAAACTTTATGGAAGCTATATAGCAACATAGAAAATATTTACTGTGTGTAATGTCCAATGGGAACTGTCTAAGCTGCAGAATTGAATGGGCACTATGACTTTAATTAAATAAGACCTCAGCTTAGAGAAACCACTTCTAGGATTTTGTGCTACCATTATACCTGCATATTTGTATAAAGGTTTAAATATGACTAGGTCATTTGAAAAATCATGATGTATTTTTATTTGTTTTCTATGCAAAAATGTGTCATGACTTTCCCAACAGTTTAACCAACTCAATAGAATGCTTATTGAAGTATTATTTACAGTAGCAAAAATTACAAATGATTAATTTGCTATTTTTTAGGGACTGGGTAGATAAATTACTGCCACATCTGTACATTGAAATAATATGTAGCTGTTGGAAAGAATGAGATAGCTTTGCATATTGATATGAAATGTTTCTGTTCAAGAGACATTTTAGGTGAAAAAAGCAAAGTGCAAATAATATTTTCCTATTGATGTAAAAAAATAGTTCTGTATACATGAAAAAATGATTACATGGAATATTACAAGTGATTATTGTTTTAAAGTGGCAGAGAGATGGGTGATTATTTTTCTTTAGTACTTTTGTAACTTAAAAAAGAAAATTAGGGCCGGCCTGTGGTTTTGTGGTTAATGGGGTTGGATCCCACGTGACCAATTCTGCTGTTCGAGTCCCAGGCCAAGTGGCTTCACTGGTGTGTGTTTGTGTGCATGCGTGCGTGTGTGTGTGTGTGTGTGTGTGTATTCCCAAGATCCCAAAAGGAAGGAGAAATGCAAGAGAAGGGATTGCAGCATGACTATTCTCCATGGGGGTGGTGTTCTCTCTTTTTCTTTGTCCCTCTTCAGTGAGCACTCTGAAAAAAATTTTTTTTAATTAAGGAAAAATGAAGAATTAACAAAGAAAAGCATGCCTAAGCATCCATTAGAGGAGGTTTTCTAGCTCTAGTCATCTCTTCTGTGCTTTTAAATTGTACTGCTACTTAAAATTAATCACATTTGTTCAGGTCACATGTTTTCATTGCTTCTGTTATGTTGAGAAGCAGAGTGCTACAATTTGGTTTATATTAATATAGTCATTATAGCACAGAGTATGTCTGCATACATTATCATAAAATGAAGACCATGACTTCGGAAACTTCATTATTGGCCTGCATAATATAGCTATGTTTATGAGAAGCAGGGAGAACACTGAATTCTGGAGAAATCTTTGGTGTTGGCTGAGATTTCTTAACTGGTTCATTTCCGTCAGTGATTTCTGACAGTCTCATGAATAAAACAAGACATGAAATGTTTTTTGTTGACTTTTGTAATGGAGCCTTAATATGCATTATTGTACCTTTAAACACTGTTCTTCCTTTTGTGCCTGTACTTTTTGGCTCTTTGATTTTAGTGGAAAAATTAAGTCAGATAACTCCTCAAACAAAAGGATTTGGTACCATTGTGAGAAGACTGGAGTATTGGGATGCGAAAATCAACTACATCTACCAAGTTTCTTTATTCTCTATATTCTGTCAGACATAGCTAAACTCATTAACTTTTAACTCTCATTGGCCTTCTTGGCTCTGCAGATAACATTTCAAGGACTAGGCTGGTAGCTATTTTGTATAAGCAGCACCTATGGAAGTGTTTGAATTTTTCATGTTCAATTGCTAGCTGATGCTGAATTCGATTCCAGTCCTTGAATTCTAGTACTTTTCTTTCTTTCTTTTTTCAAATTATTAGTAATAATTGCATAAATAAGTTACTACTTTTTTTTTTTTTTTTTTTTTTGCACAGATGAAAAGGAAATGACCCTAGATTGATTAAATTTTATGCCAGGCTCAGGCAAAATGTTTATGATGATAGCTTCCTTAATTGGCATATAAGCCAACTTTTCAATGTGGTTTATCTCCTAAAAAGTGTGATTCATTGAAATTGGAGAAAGTCTCTTGATTTATGCCTAGTTCTCATGTGCCCTTTGTGATGCTTTATTCAAATTAGGAAGTAATATAATAGCCAACTTATGTTTGCAACCGGTGTTCTAATTAGTTTGGGATGACAGCTCATTCGTCTGAAGCCACTTTATAAGCCAGAAAATGTGTGTTGTATTTTTAAATCGAATTGTCTAAGATCTGAGCTCTTTTGGACTTTTTACTTTTTATTTGTGAATTTGAAATCTCCCTATTTATTCAAGAGAGAACAGTTTCTGTATACCTATTCTTTAAACTTTGTCTCCTTACTATTCACCCCAGTATTATCACAATGGAGAGTATAAGAGAGAGTAAATGGAGAGAGTAAGACATTTTTTTAAGTAGAATTTCTTACACAATTTCTTATTGGCTTGAAAATTACATATTTTTTGTGCATAAAATTTGGCAGGCAGCAGAGTATGGTAAAAACAACGTGGGTTTTGAAATTAGGCCAAAGTTGGAATCTTCATGTACTAATTACTAGTTACTTATACAACTTACAGCTTATTGGAAATTAAGCTTTCTAACACAGTTGTTTCAAACATGACATAGACATATAATCCTTATCCTGATAGAGGATTGTGAGACATAGCAAGAGACGTAGCATAAAGGTGCTCTAGCAGTGTCTGGCACCTATGGTTTTCAATTGAATAAGCAGTCATTGAGTCTCAACTACAGTCTCAATATCATCTAAAGATACATCTTCTAAATTACTTCTTAATAAAATAATACACCATTGGGGACCAGTGAATGGCGTGGTGGTTGGGGCACTGGCTACTCCCACATGGCCGACCACAGTTTGAGTCGTGGACCTGGTGGCTTGCTTTCTCACTTTCCTTCCTATCTCTTTGGTCAAATTAAAAAAAAAATGAATGAATGAATAAATGAATGAATAAATAAATAAATAAATTTTAAAAAGGAGAATATACCATAGAATATTTTACTATAGTAACAGAATAATTGATATTTTATTACCTGGAGATCTCTTACTCTGTCCTTCTGCATATCTGTTATATAATAATAACCTTTAATATTTATTAGTGTACCCCTAAGGCCAAAGGGACTTTCCAAATAATTTAAAATAAAGTAAATCAGGGGCCAGCAGGTGGCATAGTGGTTATGGCACTGGACTCCCACATGGCCGACAGCAGTTTGAGTCCTGAACCTTCTGGCTTGAAAATCACTCTGGGAGTGTGTGTGTGTGTGTGTGTGTGTGTGTGTGTACCCAAAATTCCAGGAGAAGGGCTATGGTGTGCGTGATTTCTCACTTTCCCTCTCACTGTCTTTCTCTCTTTTCCCCTGGTAAACACACATGCCCTATGGTAAAACCTTTTTTAAAAAATGGGAACAGCAGTTGGTGTAATGGCTATGTCTCTGGATTCCCATGTACTTGACTGTGGTTTGAGTCCTGGACCCAGTGGCTTAAACTCACACTGGGCGTATGTGCGTGCATGCCCAAGATCCCGAGAGGAGAATGGAGGAGAAGGGATTGCAGCATGGCCATCCCGCCAGAGAGGTTGATTTCTCGCTTTCTGTCTTTCTGTCTCTCTCTATCTTTCTGGTGAGTGCATGCGCTCTATAGCAAAAACCAAAGTAATAATAATAATAATAATAATAATAATAATAAGGTAAATCATATGATTTCATCTTTAAGCAGTTCTATTATGCTCTAGTTTTATAAAAATCAGTAATCCAATTGATTGGATTCTCTTGGGGAATAGGCAAAAGTCCATACTTTAATCCTACAGATAAACTTAATAATAAATACATATGAAGACTATTGACCAGAATATCCTTTTTAATAATCATGCCACACAACCAGTACATTTAAAATGATTATTAATATAATAATAGCTATCCACTGTGCCAAGCTTGTTGTATTTCTTTTCTATTCTTATTTAACATTAACTCATACCATGCAAGATGTGTAATATTAGGTTGTTGGGAAAATCATGACATATTTCTCTGTTTTTCTATGCAAAAATGCTTCATGACTTTTCAGACAACCCAATACTATCCCCAATTCACAGATTATGAAAGTAAGTGAGGTTAAGTGAATTGCCCAAGGTCACATAGGAAGGAGGTGGTAGAATTCAGACTTGAAGTCACAGTCACCTTTAATTCAAAATTTGAGCTTTTAACTATCATGCAATTCTATTCTGCCTTTCATATATAGCTTCTCCTAAGTATTTTTATTATGTCCTGTGGTCAAGTCCTTTTTTTTCTGAATGTTTATATGCTAGAAAAAATGAGTTGTTTTCCTAGACTATTTCTTTATTTTTTTAAGAATGATTTTATTCCACTTTATTTATTTATTTATTTATTTCAATTTGACTAGAGAGGGACAGAGTGAGAGCAAGAGAGAGAAAGAGAAAGTGAGAAAGCAAGCTGCCTGGTCTGGGACTTAAACTGTGGTCAGCCATGTGGGAGTCCAGCACCCTTACCCACCACACCACCTGCTGGCTCCAAGTCAAGACTGTTTCAACGGGAGGGAAAATATACTGGTAGGAGCAAAACAACACTATGACTCTAAGGTTAATGGGGTAGAAAGGCCATACCATCTTCAGTGTCATTGTTGGATGTGGAGATTCAGCAGTGGGAAAGCATATTGCGAACCATTTCACTACATCACAGCTAGCATGTAGTAATAAGAACAGTTTCATGTCAACAGAACATGAAAACAAAAGAATGGGATGGTGTGCTCGCTTCAGAGCACATATACTAAAATTAGAATACAGAGAAGATTAACATGGCCCTTGCGCAAGGATGGCATGCAAATTCATGAAGCATTCTATATATTTTTCAAGATTCTTACACACTTGCCCTTTGCCCACATAAGTAAAGTATTTGTTATAAAGGTCTCCAGGTGCAGAAATTCGTAATGAGGGGAAAAATCACTTTTCTAGCAATCTTTTTTTTTTTTTTTCCAAGAGAGATTTTTTTGCTATAGGGTGTGGGCACTCACCAGAGAGACAGAAAGCAAAAAATCACCCCCTGGGGGAATGGCCATGCTAAAATTACCTCTCCTCCATTCTCCTCTCAGTATTTGGGGTACCTGGAGTCTTTTAAGCTACCAGATCCAGGACTCAAACAGCGGTTGACTACGTGGGAGTCCAGAGACGTAACTATTATGCTATCTGCTGGTCCCCGAACTTGGTTGTTTTAAAAATGACTTTTATATATAATGTTGTTCCAAACTATGAACATTAAAATAGTGACCAAAAAAAAAAAAAAAAGAGTGGGAGGGCTTGCTGGTTATCTCCACAGAGAGACAACCTAGAAACATTAGCCTGTAACTAAGAAGGATTCTGATTTGTCAGTGAAGACACTCTTAGGGTTGGCAGTCATTTAGACCTGTTGTATGTCTGACATGTGTTTTCTTTTTCTTTTTCTTCTTTCTTTTCTTTTTCTGTTGGAGGGAGTGTAGTGTTGTCAAATTCTCTATGGGATTCACAAGCAAAACAATGTTTAACAAACTCATTTAAATTTAGCTATATGAAAGTGACTTAAAAAATATAGTCAAAGATAATTGCTTTAGTTTTAAAAAGGATTTTGCCTAAGGGTGTGTGCGCTAGCTAGGGAGAGAGAGAGAGACAGAGACAGTGAGAGGGAACATGAGAAATCACCCCTGAGGGGGCGATGGTCACCTGGCAGTCTCTTCTCTGCCATTCTCCTCCTGGGATCTTGGGGATGCACACACACGTACCTGGCATGAGTTTCAAGCCACTAGGCCTGGGACTTAAACTGTGGTCAGCTATGTGGGAACCCAGTGATGTAACTACTATGCTGGCCCCAATCAAAGAAATTTATGAGGATATTTTTATGTATAGTGTTATGTTAATCAGTCTGAATGAACTATATGGGTATAGCCAGCAGGTGGTGTAATAGTTAAGGCACTGGACTCCCACACGGTCAACCATGGTTCACAGCCCAGACCCAGTAGCTTGTGTGTGTGTGTGTGTGTGTGTGTGTGTGTGCACGTGATGAAAATCCTGAGAGGAGAATGGAGGAGAAGAGGTGGTGTGGCCACCCCCCTGAGGGAGTGATGTCTTGTTTTCTGTCTTTCTGTCTCTCTGGTGAGCGCAAACACCTATAGCAAAAATTAAACAAACAAACAAACAAAACTTCTGTGGGCACTATTGGCTAATGTCTAAGATAAGCAAATTTTAGGAGTCAAAACCAGTCTGAATTATAACAGTCCTATACATTTCTAACTTAACTTCTAAGGCTCAGATAGTAACACATACTTCATGAGTTGTTATGGGGATTATATGAGGAAAGCTGAATTATGTATAAAGAAAATATTTGTTTATTTAAACTGAGAAAACTATGACATTTTGGTTCATGGGTATTAGATAAATATTCATAGTCAGAGCCCCAAATACTTCACTTTAAAACTTAAAATGGTCCAAGACACCCAGAAGACAACAAAAATATTAAATGAATTTAAGCTAGGACAGCACTGTAGCCTAGTGATTAAGGGAGTCAGATTTCATATGGCCCATTGTGGTTTGAATCCTGGCCTGGTGGCTTGAAAAACTCTGTGTGTGTCTGTGTGTACCAACAGGACAGAGAAGTGGAAAAGGGATGGCAGCATGACCACTTCCCTTGGGGGATGTTCTCTCCTCTCCTTCTCTCTGTCTTTGGTGAGCACATGTGCCCTCTGGCAAGTAAAAAAAAAAATTAGTTTAAGCCAGGGAAAGTGAGTTTTCAGCAAAATCAAGGCAGGAAATGTGAAGAGAGGGCAGTTAGCGGTGTGTAGTTCTCCAGGTCACCATGCGGAGGCCTGGTGGAGGAGCCAGGGTTGGGTGCGATCTGATGGAGCAGCTGCAGAAAGTCTCTGACGCTGTCTTGGAGTTAACTCAGATGCAAGCGTGGGTCGCACACTGTGCCTGTTCAGATGCTGCAGTGTTTAATTATGTAAATGACTTCTCCAGGGGATATTCCAGCTGCTTGCAAAGCCACTTCAGACATGCCTCATTTATCACAGTCATGAACATACAAGTCTTCATATTGAAGAATATATTAGTTTATAATGGGTAGTGGGAGGAGGAAGAGGATGTTCCACTGCTCTTATCACAGTTATAAGATGGGCATGCACAAGCCTTAACCTCAAGCAGAAGAGAGACTTCTTGGCAGGTAAGTCTTCCTTGGCTTGCTTTAAGTGAAAGTGTTAGTGTAAAAGAAGCGCTTTCCCAATAAAGTTAAAAATTTCCAAAAAGCAATTGAAAGAAGAGAAAATATTGTAAATGATCATCAGCAATCTTCAAAACTCAAAAAGAGAAACCACTAGATTAAATGAGCTATTTCTCTTTTTGCATCAACATAATAATTACACAGATCTGTAGAGCTACAATGTGGTCTTTCAGTACATGAATGTGACATACAGTGATTAAATCAGGGCGGTTAGTATACGGTCATCTCAGCCATTCGCCATTACTTTGGGTTGGGGATATTTCATGTCTTTTTTAGTTACTCTGAGATAAGTTGTTAATAAAATTCTCCCTACTGTATTTTATAACACTAAAAATTATTCCTCTTACTTAGCTGTAATTTTGTTTCCATTAATCAATATCCCTCTACTCCCCACCCCAACCTTCCTAGTCTCTGGCAGTCATTCTTCACCTCTATATGAGGTCATTTTTTTCAATTTCCACATATGAGAACATGTGGTGTTTCTCTTTCTGTGCCTGAAGATAGCTATGCGCTTCTTCCTTCCTTCCTTCCTTCCTTCCTTCCTTCCTTCCTTCCTTCCTTCCTTCCTCCTTCCTTCCTCCCTTCTTTCTCTTTCTTTCTTGCTATGGGGTTCATGCAATTGTCAGAGAGAGACAGAGACAGAGACAGAGACAAGCGAGAAAGCAACCCTAGGGGAGATAGCCATGCAACAATTTCTTTTTCATTAGCCTCTTGGGATCTTGGGAATGCACACACAGGTGACTAGCATTTCTCAAGCCCCTGGGTCCAGGACTTGAACTGCACAGTTGGCCAAGTGGGATCCAGCTGCCTTCACACTGCCTGCTGCCCCAAGTTAGCTGTTTTCTTAGTGTGACAATTTGTATTACATTTCCTATCCCAGAGCCTGGCACATAGTAGGCTTTACATGTTTTCTCCTCCTCTCCCCTTTCATATCTTTTCTATTCAATGAAAACTGGGATCAGGGGACCAGCAGTTAGTGTAATGGCTATGTTGCTGGCCTCCCATGCAGTCAACTGTGGTTCGAGTCCTGTATCGGGTGGCTTAAACTCACGCAGGGTGTGTGTGTGCGTGCCCCAAGAGGAGAATGGAGGAGAAGGGATTGCAGCGTGGCCATCCCCCCTGGGGGGTAATTTCTTGCTTTCTGTCTCTCTGTCTCTCTCTTTCTGGAAAGCGCACGTGTCCTATAACAAAAACCTCTCCAAAAATAAATAAATAAATAAAAGAAATAAAACTGGGATCAGCAGATGGCATAATGCTTACGTCAATGAACTCCCATGTAGTTGACTGCGGTTCAAATCCTGGAACTGGCAGCTTAAATCTCAAGCTGGTTGTGTGTGCGCGCATTCTCCATCTTGAGAAGAGATTGGAGGAGAAGGGATTGTGGTATAGCTATGCTCCCTGGAGGGTGATTTCTCTCTTTCAGTTTCTCTGTCTCTCTCTATCTTTTTGATAAGCGCAATGTACCCTGTAGCAAGTCTCTCTAAAAAAAAAGAAAAGAAAAAAGAAAACTTCAGAGCTTATTAGGAAGCCAGATTATGACAAGATAGCAATGTTTTCTAATGAATGATAAGACACATTTACATGATAAAATCTCTCTCCTTTTTTTTTAACTTACAAAAAATGTCCTTATAAGACTTGTGGACCTCCTCAGGGTCAAACATTTTTTATTTTCACAGGACATGAAAGCTGAAGACTTTTAACAAATAGAAACAGTGGGTTTCTTTTCTCTTCGGTAAAGGCCATAGAAAAGTTTATGGACTTGTCCTTAAGTTTTATGAATGGACTGTGAAAACGCCCACTTCCCTTTCCCAGAGGCTCTATCAGAGAATAACCTCTTTTCTTATTCTACTTATAGTCTAACTCCTTACACAAAGCTAGTAATTTATAATTGCTGATTTGACTGAATGTATAATCTCAATCTTGAAGCATTTCAAGTTCTTTTGGCAACCACAGGGAGTTTCCATGTTCCAAAAGGGAATGTTTGGTTTACTTTCTCCTTTAATTATCTGGGATGGTGGTTTTAATGCACCAAAGAGGTAAGTCTTGATGAAAAGAAAAATCCAGATGGCACAATGTGTGTGTGTGTGTGTGGGAGACTAAGTGATGCAGTGTTAGGCAAGCAGCACCTTAAAGCTGCGCTCCTGTCTTTGGTACCAACAGACCAGCAGTCTGGATCTGCTTACTTTATTCAGACCTAACGAGAGATATACCCCAAACCTCATGTAGTATCCTATTACTTTGTGACAAAAATCATCTCTCTTCATCCAGACAACCCATAATTCTGTGTTAGAGAAAAATGTTGGGTTAAATTCTTTCTTTTTTTTAGTTTATAAGTAACCGGAATTCATAACTTATAGTTTTTGAGGCTGGCAAGTCTAAAATCAAGGTGCTAGCAGATTCAGTGTGTGGTGTAAGTCGCTTTCTGGTTTATAGATGGCAGCTTCTATCTGTGTCATTAAATGGAGGGCTTAAAATTTATTTTATTTATTAATTTTTTTGAGGTTTTTGCCATAGGGCACGTGTGTTCCTTGGAGAGAGATGGTGAGAGGTAAAGTGAGAAATCACCCCCCAGGGGGATGGCCATGCCTCAATCCCTTCTCCTCCA